CTAAGTATGTTCTGCAGGACTTGAGGGTAGTTGTTGCTACTCAAAAAAAAAAAAAAGAAGTCTTATGCTTTTAAGTGGTTTTCAAAAGTGTTTTAACATGCAATTTTTTAATTGAGTTTCAATGTTTTTCCCCAGGAATTAAATACGAAAAATGGGAATACAAGCATTTCCAGGAGAGCTTAACCGAAAAAAATGATATTGGACAGTAGATTCCACAACTGTGGTTGATAAAAAATTCTTAAAAGGGATTATTAAAAATTAATCTTTATTTGCCATAAATAAAAACCAAATGCAGGGACAAGTTCTTTTTTTCTCGGAGTTGAAAATTTCCAAAAGCTTTTACCAAATAACACCAAAAATAAATTCTACGAAATCCATAATCTAATCCCCATGTGTTATGTGTGGCAACATATTGTCATTTTTAAATCAATCCTGGGGCCATTTCCGGAAAACAAGATTGAAATACGAAAAAAAATGTATGTGTTTATGCCAAAATGAAACCACATTCCATTTAGCCAAGAAAGACATTTAAATTTATTGGCAATTTATGCCCAACACAAAGGCCGAAAATCGGAATGCTTGGACACAGGCACACACACTCATACACACATTATCTATTAAAAATGTCAAATTGACCCTCATCAATGTATTGTGGTAATTTCATCGAGAAAGGATACACTATTAAAGGAAGAAGAAAAATGGAAATGTGCCACAAAAAAATAAAATTAATTCAAAACCAGCAAAAGAAGCCTCAAAGAAAAAAAAAAACAACTATTTCTAAAAATTCAATCCCATGTCAGTTTCGAATGCCAAGGAGAAATGAATGTTTGCTAATATATTAATGGATTATTTTGTCTCAAATATTGAAATATTTGATATCCTCAACTAGATAAGGTCATTTCGTATGAATAGAATCAAAGTGACCAGAGCACATTAAGCTAAAGGACACTCTTTCGGAAATGCTCATGAAAAAATGGAATTTTGAATGAAAAATCAAAAGTTTTAAAAAAATTAATTTAATTTTTTTTTTCGGAGAACCTAAAGTACCTTGAATGATAAACTCTAATGAGAAATTAGGTGAAAGCTTTGATATTAAAAAAACAATGCTCTCAGAGAGAAAACGCCTTGGATGTTGGAAGCAGGGTTGTGAGTATATTTGAGATTTAAAGATATATATTTTTTAAAAATATTTTCTTTAGACGAAAAAACTTAGAAAAAATTAACCTCCTCCTAAGAAAAATAAATAAGAGGCGAAAACTTATTTCTTTAGAATCACCTAAACGGTACTAAATTAAGTACAATTTGAACGGATGCAGCTGAAATCTTGGAATTCTGAAATTTGATATTAATATTACTGGCGGAGTGTAGGATTGGGATATGGAGGAAGTTTTCGAAATTTGTACTTATGTGTACGAAATATACTAAATGGCACGAAAATTGGTGCAATTTCGATTTGGGCGAACCGATAGAGCTGGAATTCGAAAATTTAGAAATAAAATTACTAGGACTGAGGAATGTAGGTAGTCTTGGAAATTCGTACTTATGTGTACTAAATTGTACTGAATTTGGTACAATTTACATTTTGGGTGAACGGGTAGAGTTGGAATCCTGAAATTTGAAAATGAGATTTCTATTGGTCTTTATGATGCAGGTAGTTTTGAAAATTCGTACTTATGTGTAGTAAATTGTACTAAAATTGGTACAATTTGGATTTGGAACAGGAATCCTGAAATTTGGAATTAAGATTACTGTTGGAGTGTAGAATTGGATTATGAAGGAGGCTTTGGCAATTCGTACTTATGTGTTCTAAATTTGGTACAATTGTGATATATGTGTGAACCGATAGAGCTGGAATTCCAAAATTTAATATTGAGGTCACTGTTGGTGTTGGTCATCATTACATAACCGACAATGTTATGACAAGCTGAAAAATCTCTCTTTACACAATTGTTCTCGACATTGTTAAACTCGTTTATGTTAATACAGCTTAGTTTTATTAAAGCCTTTCAGGCAAACAAAAAATGCCCACAAATATTTCCCATTTCCCATCAAATCTTTCTTAATTTACATTTAAACATTTTCACTTAATCATGAATTAAGTGAATCTCCCGCGCCAAAAGCCCTTCTCCCTCACTGCTTTGCTGATTTTACAACAATTTTCGATTGATTTTGTCTGCCAACATCCATCCCAAATAGCCTCGGAGGCATTTTTAATCAACCCGCAAACCGGAAACACGTGCTGGTGTTTGTGTTTTTGGCATCACCGCCATCAGACCATGGAACCGATGTCTGACCACTTTTCCTTGCGGAATTCGAAGAACAAGAAGTATTGTTTTGTTTGTATTGTTGTTGTTGTTGTCATTAAGATGTCTGGGCCTGTTCCGTGTGTTGATGCTTGGCAAACAAATGCCGCCGTCCCCGTTGCTTCTCCTGCTGCTGCTGACACAGTAGATTTGGTTGTAATTTGTTGAGTCTCAGGAATTAATGCTAATGAAAACTACTTATGCTAATGTCATCATCCAAACAGGACTCCATTACTCCCAGCCTTTCGTAGCTCCTTCAGATGTAAAGGCAAAGCGAGAGAGAGGCGTTGATGGTATCCATGGCTGGCCGCCCGCTAGTTACTTTGTTTTTGGCAATTGCGGTGAATGTGATTTGCTTGTAAATCCTCTGCCGACAGAGTCTATTGATTTTGTCGGTTAAGCGTTCTACTTCTTCTTCTTCTTCCACTTCTTCTGCTTCTCATTTGCATTTGTTTGTGGAACAAACAAATAAAATTCGGAAATTACCCTAAAGGAGTCAATACAATTTGTGTAACGGCACAGATAAATGTTGCTTATCAAAGGAATTTTAATCAAGTGGAACCAGGTTGCAAAAAGAAAAGGGTGGGAGAGGTGAGAGAGAAAAGAGAGTGGTAAAGGATAACAAGTATAAAATTTGAATTGGGTTAACATATAATTGTTGAAGTACAATTAAGAACCGGTAAAGAAAGGTCAAAAATCGTGCGGGACCGACTATATGATACTCTAAACCACTATAAACATATTTGGGGCATAAAAACCGTGAAATCGGATGAAGATATATATGGAAGCTATATCCAAATCTGATAAAAATTGACAGAGGTATTTCTGAAATGTATGAGATATCTGGCGCCCAATATAATTGTTGTGGCGCGCATATTGCGAGGGATTTTAATACCAAATCAGATGAAACATATATATGAAGCCTATAACTATATATGAACCGATTTTAATCAAATTAGAAGTACTTAATTCTAGGCTGAATTCGGTAGGATGTGACCAAATACATTTTATTTGGACGAATATTACACATGTGGCGCCCAATAAAAATGAAATAGGACGAAGTTATGTATGGCAGCTATATCTACATTTGGGGCTATTATCGCAAATCTTCAAGGGAGTTCATCCTTGAGCCTAACAATCCATAACGCTAATCCAAAACGTGATCCAATATTGGTAATCTTTTTCTCGTAGAATTTTCTTTTTAAATTTGTTCGAATTGGTCACCTTTGGCTCGAATTATGACCTTCAAACGGCCAATGAAACTGTCACACGTTGCTCTGCGGTATTCTGGCCCATTCCCAACGAAGCACTTGCCTGAGGTGATCGACACTTTGGTATATTTAATTGCCAACCTAGCTTTCCAAAATGCTCCAGACACAATAGTCCAACGGATTGGTATCCGGAGATTTTGGTGGCCATTGTGCACTGGAAATGAAGCGAGGAATCTCATTTTGTAACCATTCTTGGGTGGCGCGCGCTGAGTGCGATGGTGCTGAGTCCTGTTGGAATGCCCAAGGTCTGCGGTCAAAATGTTTTCGTGCCCAAGGCTTTAATACACCCTCCAGAATATTTTCGCGACAATATTCGGCATTTATTCTGATGCCACGGTCGATTAATACGAGCGGAGAGCGACCATCGGCATTTATGGCGGCCCACACCATCACCATGGCCGGCGTTTGAGTTCTAGTGGCCAACGGAAGGTGCACATTTTCATTGTGTTTGTTTACAAACTGCTGGACAACGAATGTTTCTCATCGGAGTAAACCAAATTCGGCAGTTCACCACTTTCGGTCAAGCTAAGCAACTCTTTAGCTCTTTTGAGTCTATTTTCTTTCAGTTGCGCTTTTGCACTTTTTGGAATTTCAATGGCTTTACCCCGAGCTTATTTTTCAATATTTTCCTAATGCAATTTTGCGGCCACTGCGATGCGGGTTTCGATCAAGTCGCTTATTTACTTTTCGAACCATTTCTGCTGATGTTGCTGTTTTCTTCAGGAAAATTCTCACCAAAATGCTTTTGTAAGCTTGTAAGCAATATAATGAGCTGTCACAGGAATAATTTTAACAGCTGTCGGACGAGTGGCTTAGAAATGACAGCAATCTGAAGTTGGTTGCAGTTTTTTTCATCCCATCTTAATCTTGAGTTATGTAAGATTTCGACTCTTGATGTTTTCTAGGACCTATCGTAGAAATTTATGAAAAATAAATTTGTGTAATATTTCGACTTGCCACGATCCCGTATTTTGAAAAAGGTACAAAAAATAGGATTTAGGATCTTTATATCTATGTTCATATTCGGACGCTATCAAATTATTTATACCCTCTTAAGCCATAAGGCTTAGAGTAAGAGGCCTTTATCCCATCTTGATCGAAATTGATTAAAAGATAAATACTGGTTGCTCCCTTAGCAGCCCTTAGCAGCCCTTAAACCAGATAGCTACTAAATCACTAGCCAAGTACTTTTAAATTAGCATTAAATAATCATTTCAAACTCTTTTTAAATACCCCATCACAATAATTGAAAAAAGAACCCCACGCCCCTAAATTTATGGTGTTTTCGTTGACTCCCCTTCCCACCAACAGCAAAAAAGAATTGAATTATAATTTAAAAATAATCGATTTTTAAACGCCACACCAAACGCTGCCATGCCAACACCACATTATCGACTGCTAAAATCATTCGTATATCGATTTTCGGTCAGTCTAAACAAAATGTTGGACTTTTTCAGAATTTTCACAATTTTTCTAATATTTTTGCTTAATTTTCCACAAAACGAAAGTAAAATAGTTAAATTTACCAAATTGGAATGCAAGGATTTTGACAAATCGCTGATTGCGTTTAAACTCTGCCAACTGAAGGCTGTGGGACGTAATCGCATTGCAATGCAGGTGCAGGGGGATTTGAAACAGCCGCTCAACGATGGTCTGTTGGTGAGTTTGAAAATGGGAAAAACATTTTTATTTATTTATTTATTTATTTTATTTTTTTTTTTTTTTTTGAGAGAGAGAGAACTTTTGTAATAATGCCCCTGCCATACCTATGACATATTTCAGTATATTTTCATATTTCTCACTAACAAACAATGTTATTTTCATTCCCAATCCACCAGATCAATGTTGAACTGTTTCGAAAAAGCCACGATTTTCGACCGTTCCTCTACAATGACACCATGGAGTTTTGTGGTTTCATTAAGAATCCCAATCGATATATGTTTTGGAAGATATTGGTCCAGGAAATGATCAAATACACCAATCTCAATCACACCTGTCCCTATGAGGTAAATTGGATATTATGATCCGTAATTATTTCATTAATTTTTCCTCCCCTTCCTCCCAGGATGAACTTGTCGTAAAGGATCTCATTTTGGATGATAGCATGTTGAAGGCCTTGCCATTTCCCTCCAATGACTACATGGTCCAAGTGAAGGCCCTGCAGCAGAACGACATCAAAGCCGAAATGAAAATGTTTATTGTAATTATTGAGTAAAATAATCTATTTTTGTGGATATTGAAAACACTTCACCGTCCATGGGTAATAATATTAAATAATCTCACTCTCTGTCTCTGCTGGCCCATTAAAATTTTATTAATAAAACAAAAAAAACAACAACGAACTTTGTTTTGTTTACCATATTGGATGTCTGGTGAGTATCGCAAAGCCACTGCCGCCAATACTAGATAGCCCAGCTTTATTATCGTTTTTGTATTTCAAGTCAACCGGAAAATTTGCTGATGCTTCACCAAAAAAAAACGCTTGCACAAAGAGTTAGCTCGTGCCTCACTTTCTGCGTTTGTCGGAGAGGGGTTGCGGCATTAAAATTTTGTTATTTTGCCCCATCAGCGGAAAAAAGTACTCGATTTTATTGCAATAATAAAAATCAAACAAAACAGAAACACGGTTTGTAAATTTGCCTACGCACTGCAGCTAAGGTAGAAAAGGTAGCTATTTTTCCGCCAACTCCCTGAGTCCTGGTAAATTAAGTAATTAATTCGAAAAATTCGGGTAGTTAAATGATTTAATATTTTTCTTTTTGTTTTTTTTTTTTTTTTTTAGTGCAAAACAATATTTTTGGGACTTTGCGGAAAATAATTTTCCTAACGAAGTAAATATGAGTTTTTACGCTGGTACACAAAATATCTTAAAAGTTATTGATGGTTAAAAATTCAATGTGAATTTATAAAATATTTAAAATTTGTAATACTAATAAAATTTTTAACTTTAATTTATTTTTTTAAATAAAAAAATAATTTAAATACCATAGAAGTGGGAAACGTCTAGTGCTTGTCTTTGAAATGCAAAAATAAACGTCCTAAAATATGCAACAGTATGCGACTTAATTCATCAAAAGCCAGAATAATATTTGAGCTACTTTCTTTTAAAATAAACAAAAATATACATTTTATTTTAACCTCCTAAAAGTATACCGCATGTAAGAAATTACTGTCGTAAAGCCCGTTTATACATTATGTTAAAATTTTTTATACATTATTAAACAAAAAAAAATAAAAATAACTGATAATAATAATAATAATAATAATAATAATAATAATAATAATAATAATAATAATAATAATAATAATAATAATAATAATAATAATAATAAAAATAATAAAAATAATAAATAATAATAATAATAATAATAATAATAATAAAAATAATAAAAATAATAATAATAAATGAAAATAATAATAATAATAATAATAATAATAATAATAATAATAATAATAATAATAATAATAATAATAATAATAATAATAATAATAATAATAATAATAATAATAATAATAATAATAATAAATAATAAATAATAATAATAATAATAATAATAATAATAATAATAATAATAATAATAATAATAATAATAATAATAATAATAATAATAATAATAATAATAATAATAATAATAATAATAATAATAATAATAATAATAATAATAATAATAATAATAATAATAATAATAATAATAATAATAATAAATAACTAAATTGTAAATCGATTTTTCATATTATACATTTTTATTGCATACTTTAAGGAGCCAACAACAATATTTTAGTTAAGAATAACGCTATACTTAAAAATATGAGGAGCGTCTGAAAGTATGCTATGAAAATGTTACATATAATTGTCGGAAAATCTACTCCACCACTTTAATAACTCAAAACCTAGGACTGAATGCCTATTTCTATCAACCGTCGGTGGTTAATATTGGTTTTCTATACATAATACAAAGAAACATCCTAAAAGTATACACCATGGGACTAACTACTCAGCTGTTTTTATGGTCCCTGAGCCATTTCCATTGATCACTTTCGTTGAAAGAAAAATATTTCCGTTCCTCTTCTTTATCTAAAAACACGGAGTTCCTAAAAGTAGACATAATATAGCTAACCTCCCTTAGCAATTCAAATAGTTTTCATACAGAGGGAGAAATCTCTTTCCAAAATACCCAAAATTTCGAAATCCAAAGTGTACACGGGATTTCATTAAAAATTAAAGACTTTGCTATTTTCCCTCCAACGAAGCGGCAAATGTTCAATTTAATTTGTAAGAAAATAAGTTCCTAAAAATATGGACCATGTAACTTCTCACTACACTCAAATCATTTCCATTTGCAATTTTTGACTCCAAACATATTATTTTCACCCCTCCTTCACATATAATGACCAATCATAACCTATTTACCGCCTCCTCCCCAAAAGTATGCCCCACAACTGATCACCTTTGAGACTTTTTTACTTAATAAATATTAATGATCAACCATATTTCTGTTGTAATATCTTAAAAAATAGCTTTCTTCCATGTAATAATTGCCTGGAAATTTATTGTAATTTATTTTTCCTTTGCTCTGTCTATAAATCAAGGCCTTGTGTTTTCCAAGAAATCAAGGTAAATGAAGGTAAAAATGTCACTAGCCATAACATTAGCAAAGATTTATTATGGGTTCACCCCCACCGAACGAAATTCCAATAACAACTAATGGCAAATTAGGAGGAATGAAAGCAAATCAATATTGGGCTAAAAAATGCTCAGAAAAATTCCAGAAAAAATATTTTCCTTACAATGACTTGTAGTAGGCCCAGAGAATTTGATGCTGACATTTTGTTTTATTATCATCACATTTTTGGGATATTCATCTTTTTTTTTTACCCTCTTTCTTTGGCTTTCTTAGGATGCTGTGCCACAAAAAAAAAAAAACAACTGGAGAAAAATGAGTCTTTTTGCTACGGTTTATTAACATTAGTCACTTGTAGCAAGCTATAGCAGAGCAGCAGAAAATGTTCCAGTTCATTTTTCTTGATACTGAGCAAGCGCCTGACGGGCTGCCTGTCTGCCTTACTGACTGACTAACTTGTCATGAACGAATGGAGTATATGAATTAATTTCAATCAAATAAATCCGGCAATTTATCAAATGAAAGGTATCACAACCCAATACCCGGCACGAAAGCAAAGACTCTGCGATTGAATTTGTAAAGTTATGAGGCTGGTATAAAGTTTATCTTCTTTAAGCGAATGTTTGTGCAAAAAAGGGATTCAATCGACCTCCCCCCCTTCGGAACTTATGCAATGTCTGTCTGTCTGTTGCCTTCATTGTGTTCCGTAATGACCATTTATTATCAAATCCTTTTTGTGTTTAATGGACCCTTTTCTTGGCAATAAACAAACAACACTAACAGGCAGTCATTCAATTCTGCAGAGGACACAAAAACCGCAACAACAACACCAAAAGACGGAGGGTTTACAAATCTAACTTGACACAACACTCAGACAGAGTGTGTTTTTTGTTACAGTTTTTTTTTTTTTTTTTTTTTTTTTTTGTTGGGAAAAGTTATCAGACATATGCCCAATGTACAACCAAATTAGAAAGTTACAACAAACAACAAAAAACACACATACACAACTTGTGTTTACCATTTACAACTGTTGGGGTTGTAAACAGCAAACAAATGCCCAAATTGGACACTGTCCATTCTGGGGAGTGATATCTTGTCAGGTTGTTGTTGTTGCATCATTTTTGGGACTCAAGTGGGATTATTTTTTTGGATCAGTCTTTAATAAACAAACTGAAATGCCAAAAAATACCAATACGATATTGAAGGAAATCAACTATGAAGAAGTTATTAAATTTCTGTTTTGCCCAAAAGTATGCAATGGTATTTGTGAAAATTTAACAAAAGTCTGTAATTGACTTAGAAGTGATTCAAAACGCTATAAAATGGCAATGGGAGTGTTTTTAAGAGATCATGAAAATAGAATATGGGTCAATTTTGAAAAATGAAATGAAATTTAAAAATAGAATTATTTGACATCGAATTTCAAATTACTTTAAACTCCCTGCAAGAATATTAAATGGCCTTAAATTCGCAAAGCTCATGAAATAATGAGCTGGAGTTATATAGACGCCAAAAATGTGGGTTCGAAGACCTTCTATCTTTATTCTCTTGTATCCTAGTATACCTTTAGATGCAAAACTAAGGCACTGACGGATTCCCGGAAAAATGGAAAACTTTTCTCTTTGCCAAGTAACACAGTGGGACCTAGGTTAGGAATAGGAATTGAAAGAATCAAAACGCGAATTGTCACCAATATGCAAATTTATTTTGTTTTAGAACATCTTCAATGCCAATAGTGCTTCCCAATGAACAAAATCAACCGATTTACCCTTAACTTATAGTGGAATGTACAAGGAAGACCTGTCCACACAGGTATAATAAAAAATTGAAATAAAAAATGGAAATGCTTGAAAATGGAGTAAAGGCCACACTCCCCACTACTTTGATCGCTTTCTAGGGGTAAAAATGAAAATCGGTGGAGCCTTAAACAGGACTTCGGAGATGGTCCATTATTTACGTGCAGGCTGGTACGGTGAGCCTAAAATCTTGAATGATTTTTTGGGGGTTACATAACAGTTCTATGACAAACAGGTGGTGGAGAGAAAACTTAGGGCTTTTATTGACAATATTTTTTCCTGCTTCGGACACTCCGGCCATGCCCTATACTTGATGCAGAATTGCCTACACATAACCTTTACTTGATACAAGCCAAAAGGCTTGGTCTCGAGGTTTCGAACAAAGTCTGTCAGATTTGAAGTACGTATAACTGGTTATTAAAGATAGAACTCCATTTTGAAGCTAAAGCCGAATTATATCGAACATCTCCTGTATTGCGGATTAAATATTGTTCCTTCTTCTTGAAAAGGTATTGGCAAGGATTGTGGTGCTAAGGTTGAGATGTGCTACATTAAGTTTCAATCCCCGCATCATTTAGTCCGTCTGAGATATGGTAAAAAGCCAAATATTAGAAATTTCGATATCTACTCTAGATATTTTGCTCTGCCCAAAATTTTGTAATTTTTTGAAATTTTTTAAAATAATTTATTTTTTCTTGTTATTTTTTAAATAATTTTTTCCATTTCTTTAACTAAAATATCTAATCACCCCACCGCACTCATCATAATGGGATTCGGGACATTTACATGGTTTCTCCGTTGTCGTCTTTTCAAGATGATCAATTTTGAGCTTTTCCAATACCGTCTTGACATTGTCTTTGTCATCGAAGAAATTCCACAGGCGATCCTCGAATTTCTCTTCCTTTTTGTCAGCCAGTTTCTCGAGCAATGTAACCTTTTCCTTCTCCTTTTCGAGCAGCTTCTCCTTTAATGATGGCTTATCGAAGAGATCAAATTTGGGCCATTTGAAGAGGGCACCATCCTCCTCGCTGTCATCGTAACGCATCACCAGTTTGGGTAGTTTGGGAAAGAGAACGGCCTCAACTGGATTTTTTTCGGAATTATTAAATGGAAAATCTTAAATTTTTATTTTTTTTTTTCAATTCCAACTTACCCAAGGCAATGGTTAAAATTATGAAAACTAAGGATCTCATGGCTGTGCTGTGGCAGAAACAAAAGGGTCGTTGACTTGCTTACGGTTTTGCAAGTAATAATTTGTTGTTGCTGCCATAATATTGCATTTATAGTTGGATTTCATTGCCAGTTTTAGAGCTTCGCCCTAGTCATTTCCATCCATTGGCCATTTAATTGCTCGGAATATCTATGGCCTGAGCAAAGTGTTCCCGTTGCTTCATTTCTGCGTTTTAATGTCATTTATCACGTCTTGGTCACGTTCTCTATTTAAAACCAAACATTTGCTTTCGTTGGTTTATGGGATTTTTGCCACATTTAAGTAATTCTGCCTTCGCTGGTTGGCTGGCTGTCGCTGTCGCTGCTGCTACTGTTTCTGCTGCCGAGATTGCCTTGGGGAAATGATTAATTGTTGGAAACGGAAAATGAATAGAAGAACGTCATTCGAATGGAATGGGTTTTAATGGTGAGATATAAACAAATTGTTTTGCTAAATTCCTATTTGAATGGCAAAACGTGAAATGGTCAGTAAAACTGAAAGAACCATCAAACGGAGCATTTGAAAAGTAAAAATAGAATAAATTTGAAATTTATTTGCAATTGAATTTACTCAAAGATTATTTCTGGAAAATTATTTCACGTATATATTTAGAAATAATTGCCTACTTTAGGGAGTTGGGAAATTTAATTTACAATAAAAATTAAATATTTATTTTAGGCCTTACATATTGGGATCTGGGGAGTGGAATTAGTTTTTGGAATTGATAATTATGCATAAATCTCTGAGGAGGGCCAGAGGTCACAATATAATGGTAATAAAACCGCGGTTTTGGAAATTAAAGAACATTATTAAGGGGTAGTCTACAGTCATACGTAAAGTGATTTTTCGCACATTTAGAGTTTGCTTTTTGTAGCATAGTTTTAAACGCCCGTAATATCATTAAATCACTTTAATAAAAAGGAGCATACTTTAAGGCGTAGTCTGTAGGAATTCAGAAATGTAATCGAATTACACACTTAATTAATGTAATCTTTGTATATTTGAGTTAAATTCTTCTCTCTGAACAATGATAAATGGAATGTGTAAATCTCTTCACTCCTTCCCCTCTCTCTCCCTTCAAAAACATCCCTTTCCCATTGTGCCATCGATATTATTAAGAATAATCAATTACCTCCCTTAAGATATGCAATAAATTTCCACTCAAATTCTAATTAAAATACCTGCATTCGATTACTGTGCAATATTTAAATATTTTATAGTTCAAAGAATCCTTACATGGCCATCAACAAATCTCCATGACTCTGGCCTTTTCCCCATGCAAACAATTGAGATATTAAATATTCAGTATTTTTTGGGGGACAAATGCAAATTGGTAAATATTTTTAAAGTCAAAAGATGGAAATGATTTTATTGTTATTTTCATGGCATAATGTTTAAGGTTATGTTTGCATTAGCCCCAGGTGTAATGTAATTGAAACATAAAACATTTAAAGAAATACCATTCAATTTAAGTCTTATTTCTCAAGGAAAATTGAACAGCAGTCAATTAGAATTCTCGGAAAATTGGAAGAATTAAAACGAATGATAAGCATAAATTGATTGGGATATTTATCATATATTTTACACAAAGCCTGATGGTATGCTACATATGTAAATATTTTTAGATTTTGCAACAAAAAAATAGTGTAAACATTTAAGGCTATGTAAAAATGAAAACATGGAGTTTTTAAATAACCTAGAGTGGCATTTTTGAATGAAGATAAATCTAAGAAAATTTAAATTTAAAATCTAAGAAAAGTTGGGAAATTCTTCACTTTATAATTGATTTATATACACAAATGTCAGGTATCAAATGCAGCCTACTTTTAGGAGAATTTATGTATGTTAGACTCGGCATTTATATGACCTTAATTCAAAAAATTCGAATTGAATTAGGGATATATATTATTTTAGGGTTTCAGGGCCATATATTAATTTAGTGGACATTTAATCCCAAACATATCAATTTCTCCATTCATGCTTTGAACGAATCCTTAAAGTATGCAATAAATTAAATTTTTCTGAATTCCATAACTTTCCACCAAAAATCAACTTCTATTATAATGCCAATTTATTTTTTTTTTCTCCTTCCTTTATTTGGCCAGAACATCATAAATTTTGTTATCCTGTCGAAAAACTGATGTTGGGGTCAGACAGCTTCGCTTTGCCCCCCGTGCCAATTGGTAAAAAGTTATGCTGCACCAGCCATGATATTAACCTTTAGAACGAAAAAAAAACACCAAATCCGCCACAAACAAGTAAAAGTAATAACCAGAAAAAATATGTTTTGTTGTTGTCGGTGTGTTGTGGAAACTTTTCGCTCCACTCCCACAATTATAGGAAGCGAATACCCGTTTTCACAAACCTGTGAAAAATGAGTAAGCAGCATCCAGTTTTCGTGACCACATCAGCAGATGCAAACAAAAACAAAGTCGTTTCCAATTATATTGTATTAACATTGACCACTAATAATACTGCATTGCATACTTTTTGGCGTTGGCATAAAATAAAACCAATGAGAAAATGGAGCCGTATTTTCAGAAGAGAACGGAAGGAAATCAACGAAAGTTTGTTGATTCAAGTTTATGTTTTACTGCAGTGACAGCTGGCTGTCGAAAGGAAAATAATGGCAAACGCAAAGTTTTTTGATTAACTTAATTGCAATGGAGGAAGATAACGAGATATAGATTTAAGCAAGCATTTGCTTATCTTTTTTCTATCCGGGAATATATCTTAAGGTATATCACAGCTTCAATAGAATGTTTGGAAAATCATATAATTCCTCCTGAAAATATGCAATATTTTATGTTTTTAAGATTGTAGGACCATATTTGGTTCTACCTAAAAGTATGCAATACATTATGTTTATTTTCAATTCCTGGAAAATACAATCATGTGCTGTAAATATATGAAACATTTCGACTGTTTCAGAGCTTTCAGATAATTTCTCAAAGAAAATGTGACCTTGATTTCTTACAGAGCCATGAGACCATGATGGGCAGCCTAATTTGACACTAAAATAATCTGTTCTTTTTTCCTTTAAGAAACTATAGACAACTTGCGATTAGACAACATTTTAGGATTTCAGAAGAAGCTTTCGACTCCATTTTGCACCTACATTTTCATCAATCGCTTTCTTTACAACCATAAATTCTGCAATTTTCTTTTAACTTCTTTATAAATTGCTTCTTTGTTTTTCCAACATATTTCACCGTTTCTTATTAAAGAAAATTCAAAACTTTTCCTTCTTGACCATAAAGTTTCGTTTTCTATATTCCCCAGACCTGTCCTGGCCAGACAGCATTCCATGAATTGGGGTTGTGGCAACTTTCTCTTCGAACAAAGTTCCCTTAACCTTCAATCAATTTTGTTCCCTTTTTTGCTTTTCTTTTGCTTTACTTTAATTTCTATTTTATTTTTATTTTCTTTTTGGCTTTTATTGTTGTTGTTGTTTGTTTGGTGGATAAAGCGAACAATGATAATAGTGCTGTGGCTTCTTCTGATTAACTTGGGGACCTATGGACCACCCCCTGAAATCTATGGCTTCAATTATAATTATGTGACGCCTTAGTGTATGCTTTAATTTTAGTTTCTTTTGTTGTTCCATTTACGGGTTTTTTTTTCCCAGTTTTAGTATTTATTTTGTTTGTTTTGTAAGCCATGGCAGAATAAAATAAATGAAAAAAAGGAGAAAGAGGGAAACACTATTTGTACTGAACATGGACCGGACTGAACTGCAGCAATTCTATATGAAATTAATTGTTCTGAACTCAAATGTTTTCTTTTCATTTTCTTTGATGGCTGTCCATGGCCATGGTCTGCCGTTGGAATACGGCAAAGGATGTGGCTTTAGTTTGCACAACAAACGTGGCAGATTTAATTGTGCATTTGAAATGTGCAAATTGCTGCAAAGGGAAAAATTAACAGTTAGTGTGTCGAGTTAGGTCACACACACACAGACACACACACACATACTCACAAATATACAATGCAATGCCCAAGTTCAAAGAGTAATATGTGGTCAGTATCAAATGAACAAAGGTTTGATTTGGTTAAATACCATACATAATTTATGTTTGCCTGAAAATAGGCAACAGTTTGCTAAGAGAAATTGTTAAAGGCAAACATCTGACAACTAGTGGCGAAGTTTCTGGGGAATTTTCATTGGAGTGAAGACTGTTTATTGACATAAAATTTATGCCCTAAACTATAAGGTTTCAAGATGAGTCCGAATGGAATTCCAGAATCAGAGTTTCAGGAAAAAAATAATTTCTTGGCCGACGGTGTAATTCAAATGCGATTCTTGCAGTTTTTTTTTATAAAGGCTAGTTTACACATCACATTCATCTTTTATAGCATACTTTTAGGCGTTCTCCATATGACTCTAACATGACGTGTAAACTAACCTTATTATAACCTTAAAAGACTAAAAACTAAATGCCATGATGGTTATTTCACCTTCAAAAGAAGGCCGATAATTGGATCGCATAGTATGGTCTATGGTATATATAATATAAGTATAATTACAGTTTTATATAGATTATTTTTTTTATTTAAAAAATTGTTGGGAGCACAAAGAAGAATTCCATGAAATCTCTAGCCATAAATGTAAAAATGTCACTTAACATATGACCCTAACATGATGTGTAAAATAGCCTTTAGAATTAACCAAATTCCATCTCAAATTTTCTCTGCCTTCTCGATTGTGAATCTTCCAAGACTTCGAAAATTTTTCCTCATTCATTGCATACTTTTAGTATGACTTTTAAATAAATTAATTCCAATAATATCTCCCATAAAACATCCATTTTTCTTCGCCTCTGACAAGACAAACATTGCAAATACATTTTTAACTTTGAACTGAAAAATGTCCTGTCATTTCTCATTACAATCTAATTTCATTATTTGCCAACTTTAATGTCTCATTAGTAAAATGGTCCCTGTCATGATGTCAATTTCTTCGTTATTTGCTTAGGAACTAATGAAAATTTATCTACATGGATGCATTGCAGCAAATGTCTTCCCCTCCCGACCCCCACCCCCCGCCACATATAAAAACAAAAGTGTTGGCTCATATGCGTTAGTCCTTTGAAATAAATATCCCTTTGTACACATGCACGCACACACAGAGATATTTCACCGCCATTTAGTTGATATCAACACGTAACTTGGTAGCATCTGGGGAGTGGGGGGAACGAATGAAATGTTATTGGAAAAATATTTACTTTCGAAGACAATTTCCCAAACAAACGCGCACTCATATTTAGT